GAAGACAAGGATAGCGTCGGGACGCAGGGCGGTAAGTTTCGGGAAGAGGGTTGAAGGAGAAATCGAACTGGTAACAGAATGCTTGAAAATGAAGATGAATGCGAAAGGAATGTTCGAAGAACAAAGCGAAAAATATTATAGAAGAAATGAAACGGACAGACTGATGTCGACAGGAGAGGAATAGGAGAAAGGATGGAAAATGAGCTGGTAAAAACAGACCTGGATGCACAGATACAACAACCGAGGGTGAAAATAGAGAACACGCGAGGATCAAATGAGGGAGTCGTTACCAACATCCCTATGGGAGGGAAGAAAAAGTATTAAAGTAGTGGCGAGATTCAGATGCGGGAATGGGGAGAGAGAGAATGAGAAATGCTGACGGTTCTTTTCAGATTCCCTTCAGCTTCCCTTAAGGCCCCCTGCAAGTGTCCTCGGGTTTTCGTGATTAGCAATCCAGTGCTCAAACTATTATAATTGATTCTGAATCTACATTGCTAACGGACAGACGGACAGACATCGCAAAATAATGAACTCGCTAGGAGCTTGTTAATTATCTTTGAATTTTAAGTGTCAGTATGGAACGTCGAGACTTTTTGGTAATTGCGGTGGTTTTACGAAGAATTTCAAATTTTGGGTCACTAAGAGCCCCCCGGTTTAGGGATGGAAAATAATAAAATTCCAATTTTTAGAAAGAAAATCAAATTTGAAAATTCTTTAAAATTTGAACTTTGAAATTTCAATAAATAATTTTGAAGATCTAGTGCTAAAATCTTACACAATAAATTTTGAAAGTATCTATTTTTCTCTTGGCACTTCTACAGATTATTGCTCGTTCTTTGTTTTTTTTTAAATCTAAATTTCTTTGTTTTCTAATTTCAGGCTTTAAGTAGCCATTGTAAAATAATAATATAGGCAGAGACGAGATTTTTACTATAATTCTGTTATAACCAACGAATCAATTGCATAATATGTTTATTGACTATAATTTATACTAAATGCATTCCTATGATAAATATCAAGGGAGCTGACTTTTTTTCCATTAGAGAACTAAATATGCCCGAGCACTCGAATTAAAAGCGTGGAGGAAGTTGTAAAGATCATACCAAATTGCCAGCTTGAAATGGCACCTGTAGCCATTGGCCTTAAAAATTGTTCCCACGGGTGTTGTTATGAGGTTAATGATATCTCCATGATTAAATAGGAGTTCGCTGAATGTACTTGTTTCATTTCTTAACAGGATAATATAAATTAATTAATGGCGTATAATTAATTCTTTCCTTTTCAGATCTCGTTTGTAATTCATTTATGCTAATATTTGGAGATTTTTTTTCTTAAACGTTAGAAAAATCACGCGCTGAATTTACATACGAATTTTTTTGTGAGAATTCTTCCCTCCAGCTTTTGTTCGCGACTTAATCGTATGCAAACGTATGCAGTATGAGGAAGCTTAAATCTAACAGGTGCTTCTAATGATTTTTGTTGTTATGTGTTTACGGTTATTTATATTTTTTGGTTAAAGAATATTTCATTAACCCCCATAGTGCAACAAAAAGAACTTTCATGGAAATCCACCCCCTTCTCAATGAAAAACTAGTCTTTGGAACCTTTGCCTCTCAATATAGCGGGCGGGGGCTGACAATCCATTACTTTAATTAATAACATTTTGATCCAATTTCATTGCCCATGCATTGAGAAAATAGTGAGAAAAAAATAAAATGACAATTTCCGCCCCTTTATTCAGAGGTCGTTTTGCAGGTAAGGAAGTTATCGGGATAGTAACAAAGGTTATCTTTCACGACGTGCCAGATTACGTTCCTCCTAAATTATGAAATGTTATCACAATTGAATTTAAACTCTGTCATTTAAGTAGAGCATTCCCCTTGAGATAAATTGATAGATAATATCGACGATACATAGATAATGCAACATTATCAATTGCGACAATAGCGGCGAAATTCGATTGTTTAAAAAATTTGATGAAGATTGCACGATTTCACCAATTTCACTAAATACTAATGCAGCCAGTATTTCTAACATACGGTTTTTTTCAGAAACTTGGCAACAAGCTAAAATGATCATATTTTCGAGACGCAACTTGAATGGAGGAATCAGGAAAGCAACCTGGAATGGAATATTTATCTTCAAATCTCAAAATTCAAACGTCAAACTCGAGCTCCAAGATTCATGTTTAGAGAATTCAAGTTAAAGATTCAAGCGTAGTAAAAATGTGATGAAGGGTTTCTTACAACTTAGCAAACAGCTTGATGTTCAAGTTTGGAGCTTTAAGCATAAAACTTAAGTTAAATCTCGAGCTTGATGGTCTAAAGTTTATCAAGTATTTTTCTTGAATTTTTGAATTCAAAAGGTAAGTTCACGGGAATCCAGTGAGATCAGGAATTTTTCAGAGGCGCAAGAAAACTGCAAAAGAATTTAAATGTGAATTCAACGAAATTTAAGTGGCGTTCAAAAAGTGGTCAAACAAATGAAATTGAATAGTGGTAACTACTGCCAAAATCAAAAAGGAATTTGATTGAAATTTAGGTAATTTAACTGGAATTCAAGCTCAAGCTTAGCAAAAAGCTTGAAGTTTTGAAGTTGAACTTCACGCTTAGTAAAGCGTTGGAGCCTTAGTTTTGAAGTTCAAGTTTCAAGTTCCAAAGATTAGCAAAGAGTTCGAAGTTTGAAGCTCCAAACATCACTTAAAAATTATCCTAATGATACTTTAAGAACACCGACGAACACCAACGAATTTTCGTAAATAGTCTGAAGTTCCTAAGGTTTTAAATTCACTCTCAAGTTTTAAACTTTGAGTTTATCAAGAATCTTCGAGCTTCAAACTTCAAGGTTCCATCTTTAGTGCAAAGTTGTTTGAAATTTCTAGCTTCAACTTCCTTTCTGTAAACTTGTAGCCTTGCGTTTGAAGCTTAAAATTGAAGCCGCATGTACCGTGCTCCACGTTTAAAGCTTAGGAATTTAATCCTTAGGGACCCGATTGCTTACGAGCTTTAAGGTTAGAATTTAACGTCATGCAGTTTTGGGATTTCTAGTCTCAAACCTCAAACTTCAAATTTCTAGCTTAGGAAGGAGCTCACACCTAAGTTTCGAAGTCCTGGTTCAAAGTTTTACATTTTGAGTCTCAAATTTCAAGCTTCAAACTGCAAGTCCCAAGCTTTAATCGTTCAAAATTCTATCTTAGCGGCGATTTTGAAACAAAAACCATTTCGACCCTGAGGGAGAACCGTGTAAGCGCCGCCATCTTGGATGAAAGATAAAGAAAATCCGTTTTGCCACAATACAATAAAGCCCGTCTAATTTCGATGCTGACAAGAAAATGGATAATCCGGCTCAAGGCTGCTGTTATTATTGAACAGGTGGAAGAAGATGCTGAAGTGCTGATTATCAGGATAGCGATTTACGCACAACATTTGATGCAGTTGGCGAAAATGTTGATCTGCTTGATTTGCTGTCAGCACTACCACCATCTCAACTGTTACCTTCGCAAACCCGGAAGAGGCAGAAGCGATTTTTAGTTAGTCCCGGGACTTATTGAACGATGTGTCACATAATGTTTTGTTGATCTATTGTCGATATTGACTGGCCCATATACCCTTTCTGATTTTTTAAAATGTTTTCTAACCTAACACTCTTGAAATTGCAGTAAACCCTTAAAGAGCGTTTAAAAAAGTGGCAGTGACCCCAAGGAGTCATTGGATTTGATCCATTTTCAATTGGCTTATTACATGTGGCATATAGGTCAACTGTGCAAAGTTTGAACCAAATCGGTCCAAGCGTTTGACGGTTATCATGTTCACGGACAGACGGACACCATCGACTCCCCTATAAAGCTTGCATCGCTTTGCTCTGCCGCTTGATAAAAGCTACTAACTGCACCAAATGGACCACTCCCGAGGTTTAGAAACAGTCTAGTTTTGGCAAAAAATTATAGGAAAACCTTCACAAAGGTCTTCTAAAGTATCTTAAATGTCTTTCAAGAAAACTAATTCTATATAAGAAACCCCCAGGAGTATTTCTTAGAAAGCTATAAAACGATTTCTAAGTGTTCAACGCTCAAAAGCGGGTTCTAATAAAAAGATTTATAGGAAGATCTTTAGTAGGATTGTGAGAACTTTAACAGTTCTAAGTAAATGTTAAAGAAGCGTTATGTTTCCAAGAAATTTTCTTCGATTTCTCAAATATTCAGAAAATTTGCTAGGAATACTTACAAAAATTCTATCTCAAAATTTCTACTAAAATTACAAAAAGCCATTCCAGTTTCTTAGAAAATGTTTCGAAAGGTTTGTCATTCCGAAAATATCTTTATAGGATCTTTAAGGGTTTCAAAAATGATTCCTAAACAATTCCTGTAATTGTTCTTAAAATATATCAACGAGATAAGGTATTTCAGACCCTAATCAGTATTCTAAGATTTTCTTGAAATTAGCGAGGTTTTAAATAAAAAGGTTTTTGTTTGCGTTATGAGAAATTTCGTTCAGATTTCGATTCAGTGCCCAAAGGATCATACAGCATGAAAGTGCTAGATTACATGGAGAACTAAGACAAGCTGGTTAGAACTAAAATTGCACTTGAATTAAAAAATGAAACAAATTTGTATTTAGGTAAGGGCACAGGTAATTAGAGCATTATTCGTCTAGGCCACCATCCACTTGTAATCAAATTGGCAGACTTCGATACTTATCTTATCTGGGACCTCATTCGTTTTGCAAGGTGTCGTTGTTCTAACCCGCTTGAAATCACGTCGCATATCTACAAAGATAAGAAAAAAAAATGACTTGTTACTGCGAGGAAACCTACGTCTTATCAAGGGCAAAGTTCTGTCGATTGAAGAAGGCTTTAATCGAAAGTGACTAATAGCCCCCAAAACGGTACCTTCCACCCACAGCATTAAGAAATAGGAAAAAGTCAACCGATTAACATATCCCAGAAAGGCAATTTACCTAAAACTTGAAATCGTTCGATTAATTAAGTTGGAGGACGATTACGTCTAGTGACAGATGTGCGTCCCAAATTCCTAACGAGGGATGAGTCACGAAGTATACCCCCTAAGATGTCTTTGTTATAATTTTCTTAAGCCAACGGCGATGAGTCATGCACGAACGAAAGATTTATTTCGTAAAATCAGGTAAATTCGTCAAAAACAACCCTAAAATGTATCACCCTTTGCACAATCGAATCCCTTTCCTTTTTCAGGTATTTAAATTGAAACGAGAGGTAACTGACCATAGCCAACCTGTTTGTGTAGAACCGGAGACCGACTTACCGTAAAAGTATTACACAAGCGGAATATTAAAACGGGTTTCTTTTTACACAATGCGAGGGTTTTACATTTCCAATACTTGTGTATCAAATAAGTTTGGGATCTACAAGGAAGATATATGAAAAGGGTCAAGATGACGACAATAGTGAATCGCGGGTGTATTAAAGAAATTGAAAGGTGGTGAACAAATCTTTATGAAAACACCCCTACGCTAACCATCTGCTTTTGGATGTGTGGGAACATCGAAGATATCCCGATTCCCACGCCCTACACATACATTTCCCTTCCTTGTTGAAATCATGCACGCCAACATATGACGGTTTCACTTGGATGGACCGGCCGAAATATGCACACCTGCCCCTATGCCGAGCGCTCATAGGTTCGGGGAAATTGTTGTCAGTTCCCCTACTTCACCCTTAGGGCTAAGTGACGTCACACCCTCTATATAACCATCTGCACTTGTTCGAAATTTTATTATTCGCCTACGTGCTTCAAAGTTAGTTTTCTCGTGCTCAACAATATGTCAACCTACAACGATTTTTTGGTTTCGTCGAACAACTCGATCAACGATAACAAGATCAACGCGAAGAAGGCGCGCTCGACGACGCATCAGATCAAGCAGCTCCTGAGGCCACTGCTAGATCTTCTCAAAACCCACAAGCGCAACACATACAAGAAGACAGTGCAACCGGAGGAGTGCGACTGCGAAATGGACCAGAACGCCGCGAACGAGCTTCTGGAATCGAGAATCTTTGAGGAGGTCGACTCGTGCGACGATCTCGCCGCCGTTCCCGTTTACAGCGAAGGCCGCATGGACCTGCTGCAAGTCTTTCGAGGTCAGCGTTACATCCCCGTGCACTTCGCAAGGACGGAGGCGGGCACGTTCTTCTGGACGTCGATCGTCGGCGCCGACGGCGACATTTGCGACAAAAACTCGATCACCACGCATCAAACACCCGAAATGCAAGTCGCGTGCGACCGATGGGCACAGGCGTAAGTCCCTCGACATTTGCGCAATTACTCTTGTAAAACTGATACCTTGTGATAGTAGTACGTAAGCTAATTTGTAAGACTTTCACTAATTTGATGTGTGATACATGCTTTAATTTTGATGTTTATGTCTTCCATTTTCGTAGATTATAAGAATAAATTTTTTTACTTTACGATTTCTTTTTATTCTTCGACAAAAACTGGTAGTGGAATGCGTCAGCCTTTTAAAAGGCCAGGTAAGAGAAGAATTTCTTTGGGTCACCGAGGCATGTTTCTACCTGCGGAAGATCGAAATTACTTTACCTTTTAGTCGAATTCGGGCTACCCCGACTATAATAAAACGGGTCGAAAAAGATCGTAATAAATACGTACATGGTAGGTGCCGTCAAGTTGTTAATCAAACATGGACTGGTCGATCCAGTTTACTTGGCGTTTTTGTTTCTCCTACGCGTCTAATTAAGAAGTGTGATGCATATTATTTACTGCTGTATTCCAAATGGAGGCGTGCCGGTTGCCTTTTATTTACAGAGTATAATTAACTATAAGCACGTGCCATGTCTTATTGTACACTTGCAAGATTTCGGCTCGCTGGACCTAGTCGATGCGCGTCCAATCGTCAAGGGGTCGAAAAAGAAAACAGTTTTATAAAAGCACCCCTAATCGTCAACTAAAGAATCATACCCATACCACTGAATAAGTTCGTTGGGTATCAAATGGGTAGAGAGCAACAACGCGAAGGGAACAGCAACACTAAATTGGGGTAAAGTTAGACCATCAACGTAGATGGCTACACATTCCCCAAAGGTTCCCTCTTTATGCAAGGTTCGTTCAATTTTTCCACTATCCACCCTTATAAAAACGTAATGTTGAACACTTGGATGGTGAAGTCATGTTGTCGCTATTAAAACAGGTAGTTGTTTTCGTTACTGTTGAAATGAAAACTAAAAGTTTGCTTGCAGTTTTTCGACAACTTGCAGTGGGGTAAAATAGGGCGAGTTTTTTTTACCCTTAGTAGATGTGGCGAATTAGTAATTTGAGTTCATTGAATTTTCGCAGTTCTTCGAAGATTGGATAAGTATTTGCAAAAGGGGAATAAATTATCTCCCGACGTTGTGGGACAGCTTATTAAATCTTTCAATTCTGCTGCGTGGGACAGCCCTCCGAATGCACTGGTGTGTAAGGGTTTTTCAATCCAGAAGAGAAGATCAGTGGTTCGATCACATTAGATCTTTTGTATTTGATTTGTGAGTTCATTGATGTAGTAATAAAAGCTCCATTTTTGTTTGCAGCTCTTCGAAAATCCAAATTGGCACTTGATAGAGTGAGTTTTTGACCCCTTTTTAGACGTGATGGGTCAGTGGTCCCAGCTTATTAAAAATTTTAATTCTTTTGCGTGAAGTAGTATGTCGTATTGCTATAGAGAGATAAAGATTTGAGTGCCACAGAACTAGTAACAATTATTTTCACGGTCAAAGATGGGGGGTACCAAATTTTGTTGTGATTCAAATTTCGAAAATCGCAGATCAATTTTTAAGGGTTGAACTATCTAACAACTCAACTCATCTGAACCAAAGCTTTAATAATATATAGTTTTATAGGTTTGGCAAAAAGGGGTAATTTGGCTGCGCGAAGCACCTCTTTCTTCTTTCTTCTTTGAGGTAGTGGTCCGTTGTTCGAATTAATTAATGTTTGAATTTGAAACAGCCCCCTAAATTCATTAATGTTGCAGTAAAAGCTCCAATTTAGCTCGATAATTCACGATGGTATGTGTAAACTGCTAAAAATGGGTGCGATTTAGTAGTGGTGGGTCAGTAGATAAAATTTTTACCACCCGCACGGTAGTAAGATTGGGGATAAAAAATGAACCCCATTTTTTTGATGAAAATACACGTTTTGAAGCACCAGGAATTCGAATCAAACAAAAGCTGGATGATGTCGACCGATCTGTCGATCCGTCTGTCTGTTTGTACTCTCATTTCCGGCTAAACGGCTGAACCTATTGCAACCAAATTTGATACACATGTTCTTAGACATAAAAGAAAGAGATGAAAAGCGTTTAGGCAGAATCGCACAGTATATCAAACATATTTTTAGACATAAAAGGGCAGGATCGCTCATGCGCAGGTGTGCGAGTGGCATCTGTGCTATCCACAGCATATTTTCTAATGTTGCGAAGATGCCCTTTTAAAGTGGATTTATAAATTCCAGTTATAGCACAAGAGGTATAAATGTGATCTTTCCATTGTTTTTCATCAACATTTCTTAAGGAACGAATTAAGTTAAAAGACTTCAAACTGAACTTTGTTTTAGTAAAAATAAAGAATTTTCAGAAATAAAGTTCATGATTTCAAAACGAAATCAAAAAATTGATGTTAAAGAAAGACTTATTCAATTCAGCAACAAAGTTCACTGGAAAGAAGATATTCGTAAATCAAAAAATTAAAGGACGATTTAAGCTCTCAAACAATATAGAACAGTGGTTCCCAAACTTATTTCCATGACACCTCCTTTCATAAAAAATGTCATTTTCGAGTATACGTTGCCGTCCATTTATATATCAAATCAAATCAAGATATCAAATAATAATTTTAACAAAACCTTGATGAATTTTTCTTTGTGACGGTGCTAAAAAAGTTGTTATGACCCATAAAATATTATGTTTTTCAATCAAGTCGGATATTGACTATTGAGTTCATAACAACAACGGCTTTTGATGTCGTTTTTAGTTTATTCTAGATCTCTTCTTTTATAGCACCATTATATATCACACATATATAGGGCCCAAAACAAGAGAGGGATAATAATAAATAAATAAAATCTCATCTGACAACATCGGTGTTTTCATCAGCATAAAAAGGCGAATTTACCGAATTGTAGATACCTTCTCAGTCTCACGCCCCCTTTAACAACGCCAACAACATTCTAAAATGTTACTACTTTCTGCAAGAATCCCGTATTTTTAGTACTTCTGGTTGTCGCGCATGGATTCATTGGAAAGATAATTTTATGTTCATAAACACTGATAGGAAAAAGTACGATATCTTCCACACATGAGGATATATATTCATACTTATTATTCGCCAGCTGCCACGTTGAATTCTAATTTTGACCCCCTAAACTGTCGAAATTCGCGGTGATAACATGGTTTTTTGGAATCAGCATACCCCAGTGAAATGGTACCAATCTAGAGGTCAAGCCAAGAAGAAACGGAAGGTTGAAACTTGAGGGGTAGCACTTACAAATTTAACAAAAGGTAAACAAGTTCTAAATCAGCATATGCATGATTAAAGCGCATTTTTGGTAATACAAATCAGTGATTTATTAGCGAAGTCTAAAAGTCACGAGTAATTTTGGCTGCGTTATTCGAAAGAAAATTCAAAGGGCTGTAACTTTTGAACTAGTGGCCCAATCTTCGAACTGTTTGAAATTATGGATTGTACAGGGCACATTCTATAAGAAAATTTTTTTTCCCGGTCGATCTGAGACCATTTTTTTTTCGGGGCTCAAAAAAAGGCAGTGTATAACCTTCATTTTTTTACCAAAAATCGACTACACCAAAATTTCTCGGGAAAACACTTTTTCTTATTAATTTTGGGGCTTAGAATCCAAAACAACTCGTACTTTTTCGATTAGAGAAAACAAATCACAAAGTAAATAATTAATTTGTTCTATGAATTTGTTATACTGGTAGCGCTATCTAACGGTAAAATTATAGCACCTCCGAAAACCATATCGAAATTATTTTCTTTTCTTTTCGATCTCACAAGTAATCTAACTCAAAATAGACTAGAGCCTCCACATCTACACTATAGCAGAAAGCTTTTAGTGAAAATTTGAAGTCTCTAGCTATTGTAGTTGCTGAGATCTCACCCGGGCAGCCGGCCAGCCAGCCATAACGAATATAATAGCGTTAGCGTATTTTTTTCAAAAATGCGCTAAAAAATATACAGCGAGTTTTGTGAGAAAGATTTCTGCATTTTAAGACCGTAAAAGCGGAGTGGAGGACGAAACTAGAAATAATTAAATTATTTAAGGAAAAAGCATTCAAACCCACTTATAAAGTAAGATTTACAACCAAAAAAGGTTCTCACTGGTGGTACACGCCAAGAAAAACTCCTTTTGAAGAAACCATTATATTTATAAGAAATATTGAACCAAACCCAACATAAATCAGATAACCGAAAATCCTAAAAGATTCTGGAAGGTTAAAAGTAATCCTTAGATTCAACTTCGATATTTAAATTAACCCAACATATTTCTTTAATTTTTGAAGTTTATAAAAAATTTAAGTGCCCGTGGCCGTGTGCTCTTAGTTTAGAGCTCAGAAAGCAACTCGTAAACTAAAAGCTTAGAATACATTAAAAGCATTGGATTTCAGCTTGAAACCGCAAAATTCGTAAAATGTGGCATCAAGCTTAAAGTATGCCACATAAAATTCCAACTAAAATTTGAGAATGCATTCAGAGCTTTTGCATTCCGTCTTATAACTTCAAAATTACAAATTTAAAGCTTGATATTTTTAAGTAAAGTTTGGCACATAAAATTCCACACTAAAAGCTCAAGGAACATTCGTATAGAAATTTATTTTTGCAAGCCTGAAGTTGGAGACGTAACATTTTAAATGGCAAGGTGCCATTTCGGCTTAAATCCGATAAATTTGAAATGTAGAGCTTCAAACTTGTAGAATATAGTTTCAATCTGAAAGGTTTGACTACAAGCTTAAAAGACATTCTTAACTTTGCATTTCAGCTTAAAGCGTTAATTCGCCTTAGACCGCATCAAAGTTTGTTAATTGCACCAATACCAAATGTCGAAAAATTATTGTTTAAGATATGGACAAACGGCATTTTTCAAAAAGATTGAAATATGAAAGCTAAACGAAAATCGCTAGGTACTCTGAAAGGGTTCATTCGAAAACATTGAAAGCTCTTCTATACTGAAGAGCACGATGAACAATTTCTTTTCAAGAAAATTGATAGATTTGGCTTAATTGAGCAATTTTAAATCAACGTATGCCACTGTGTACAAACCATGTCAAGAAAATCAATAAAACTTTACAATGTTTATAAACCATGGTTACATATTATGCACACATCATTAAACAATTACGCTAAATGACAGCCGTAGTATGCAATTAATGTTACCTCTCTTATGTAAGTGTAATTATGTACAG